AAAAAAGTGCATGTAAAGTCGATAACTCGCATTTCTCGAAATTATTTGTTGTCGCTTTTCCGCGATGCTGATTGGTTGTCTCGCTGCGCTTACTTCGCGTAAGCGGCTGTGACATTGCATTTTGACAGTTGTGTGTATTGAGGTTGACGTAATTGTAAATTATAGTAAGAAGTGTTAAATAGTAAATTAAAAAACTGAATTACCTTGTTTTGTTTATTTCGAGTGGAAAGCTGGATTTTAGAGGGATCGCAAGTAACATATGTGATGCGATTTACTATAGACTGATTACTATTTACGTTATAGGGATTTAGTTCGTTTAAGTCATTATTAGTTAAATTTATTTTATACACCGAGCACTTTGATATGCGTACTTATAATTAAGTAACTTAATTAAGTAAATCAGAGCGCATCAAGCGATTTGGTACGGATATAATATTTAGTACGCGTATCAAAGTGTGCTCGGTGTAAACTATAAACTAATTAGCTGAATTGTAAGCGTAGTTGTAAGTGATTGTAATTGTAAGAATTGACCAATTACAGTCGAATATTCACTCCTCATATTCGTCATTTGTGATTGGTCCATTCTCGCATATGTTCCTTCAATTTAAATTTATCATAATTTAAAACTTTTCGATTTGTCTCTTATGAAAGAGTAACGCTATATAATTTGCGAATTATAAAACACCTCGTATATGCGTTTACATGTATTTATATTTCTTCCGAGAGCAGATAGTGCAGATTGCGTGCACTCTCATGTAAATCGGCCATTCGGAGAATCGACGATTATATCACCCTCTCGTGGCGCGACGCCTTCCTCGTAAAAACCAATCATCCGGAGCAGAGCTTGAGAAATCGTACAAGTTTCCGCTTGTTCTTCCAGACCTTTCAGAACGTATTCGAGCCTCCGCGTGGCGAGTGACCGATGACAGCGCGAGATTGATGTCGATCGAGCACGCAAATTGCATGGTGATCAAAGTCCAGCCTTCCGCCAACGTCACAAGTCGTTAGTTGACGATCCGAGACGAGGTGCATACATCGGTGACGAAATCGGTAGCAAAAAAACGCTGAGTCAATCGACATAATCGTTGTTTGTCGAGGAACGGCGATCACGAGACTCGCACGAGTTTCATCGACGAAACGGGAAAATAATAATAACGGGAACATAGAGGCACACTCGACGTTCGACGAGATGGCAGCCAAGGACAGCAAAGACGACACCGCCTCTTCGGCCGGCAAGCTCTTCACGCGGGCGCAAGTGGAGAAGCATTCCGATAGTTCCAGGGATACGTGGATCATTATTCACAATAATGTCTACAATGTCTCCTCCTTTCTCAATGAGGTTGCATATTTTTTCCTTCCGTAAAAAAATTAGGCACTACAGATACCTAGCGATTTATTATTCTTTATTGAATCGAAATCTAAATTGAAAATCTGAATCTTTCGGTTCTCATCGAAAAAATATTTTTTTTGATGAATTTACTGTTTTTATTTGAATTAATCTGATGCATATTTTATTTTAACAGCATCCCGGTGGCGAGGAGGTACTCCTGGAGCAAAACGGACAGGACGCCACGGAAGCTTTCGAAGATATTGGACATTCAACTGACGCCAGGCAAATGATGGAATCATATAAAATCGGAGAATTGGTAGAGGTAAGAATTAATCTAATTTCATTTCGAGCTTATATTACTCTTACGTTTATTTTATTTTATTTTATTTTGTTATCGATTATTCGTGCATATTTTAGGCAGATAGGAAGAATGAGACCAAGAAGCCTAAAGATTGGACTAGTCCAAATGAAGAGAGTTCCAGGTATGATCTTGTTCCCATTTTTTTCTATATATATTGCGCACCCTTAAGAACTTGATGATTCTGTCATTCTCATAATTCTAACGTTTCAATATTTCAGAATAACCACTATTTGTCACTGTTTCAGAAAGCTATTTTCTTTGATACCAATCTTGGTTTCACAAATATTTCTTTTTCTATTAGCACCAGTACTCTTCTCTCTTTTCAACTTTCTTTAATTTTGATTATTTCTACAAAGACAGTATGAATATAGAAACTTGATTTTAAGTGAAGGTGACGTCACATATGAATAATACTTTGTGTTATCTGATATCTTCACACTTGAATTATGCAGGTGTGTGGAATGATTATGAAAGCTGAGTATTTTGTATTTTTGTCTTATCAGTTAAGTGCATATTTTTACGTAACTCCAAGAATATTATCTTACGATTAGTTAGAAATTTCAATCTCTGAAAGTAGTTCTAACAATGCTAAATACTTTATTTGCAATGCTTAATATTCAGTTTTTAGTATGTTAGAAAACCCAGTTTTACATTAAAAAATCCTTTTTTTTGTTTGATTT